CTCATATTGCCATTGACACTAATGGCTGTGGAATTGAGTGGGGACACTGGGGCAGCAATGCAGTCTTACATCCATGTCCAATCAGTGCAAAGCAACGCATCCTGTCACAATAATTATGACAGAACTATTGAGACAATTTTTTTGGCGACAGTCTCACTGTCCCACTAGTGTTCCCCTTGATTGGCCTTGGTAGCTTGCAAAGTCATTGTCATTTCTCACAACTTCATTACTTTGTGGCACAAAGCAATTTCCATTGTCTGTGCTCTTCCCACTCTGTTACCCCTTAAGGGAGTTCACGCCATATGTGCATGACAACACCCTGTCGGATAGACAAGGTGATGTCTTCTAAGAGTATCTTTTAGAGTCATCTCATTATAATATTGAGCTTTGTCTTTTTATTGCAATGATTTAGTTATCTTAGATATGTCTAATTGCTGATACTGAATTCACATCGCTCCCAACTGTGGCCTTTATGGGCAGAAAGTAGAAATGGCTTGCTTTATTATGGCTCAGGCTCATTGCATTTATATTCTTACATTTTTAATCCTCAGTAAAGTTAATGCTCACATCAGGAGTCTAGCTGAACAGTAGACCACATCTTCAAACTGCTCTTCTGTAGCAGAAGGTAATGAGTAGCCTGCTGTCTATGCCTCAGCCCTCTCTGGTTTGTAAGTGGAGTATTTTTCTGCCAAACACTAAATATAACTTTGTATATTCACTCACCTAAGTAGAAGTCCATATATTTGCACTGAGAAAATACTAAATTACAAGTATTTATAATCAAATGTACTTTGTATCTAAAGTGAAAGTATTAAGCACTTCAAGTACAATTTTGAGGTACTTGTCATTTACTTGGGTATTTCTTTTGATCTTACTTTATACTTCTACTCAACTACAATGCAGTGGGGATTATTAAATGTTTTACTCCATTACATTGGACAACTGTAGTTACTTTACCTATTAAGATTTACATGTAAAAAATGTAGTGCCTTAGGACTTACTTTTTTCTTCATTATGAGTACTTTTAGTTTTGATACTTAAAGTACATTTTGCTAATAATTCTTAAGTACATAAGTGATAGTCAATGCAATATTGCTACTTATACTTAAGTATATAATCAAAATATTTCCTCCACCACTGCTAAAACTCACTCACAAACACATGCTCTCCATGCAGTGTTATCATAGCACTTAAACATCAGATGAGTAGATTAGTGTTTTAATCTCACTCTGGATCTGAGGCATCTCGCTCCCCAGTCCTACCCTCAGCCTGCTGTGAAATACTCCATCCACTCAACTGTAAATAAGTGCTAACAAGATTATCAGATTACCCTTCATCCAGGGCACCCAGCGACTGCTGGGCACAGTTACTGCTATGATGTAAAAATCCCTGTGAGATAATTGCGTTAGGATGCACCATTTTAATGCAAATTTTCCAAATGCTCACTAAGCTCAAGGGCAGCTTAAAACACTTTTCCTATGTGTAGTATGAAGTATATTTCTTTGTTGCCACTAACAAACCACACTGGATGTAAAGAATGTAGTTGAAATGGGTCTATAGGTAAGAGAATTCTCCATCAGTGTTTTCTCCATGTCTCTGAAATAGGCTGTCTAGAAACTGGGCCAAGTTTAATTGAACTGACAGAAACAGATTAATCCCAGAACTTTTTTTAATTATTTAATATTGTCATGAATAAGAACTGTAGGTTATTGTACAAGTTGGAAGAAAAAGTATGATGGCATTAACTTGTACAAAATGACATTTGCAATGGTTTGCTGCTATTGAGTACATGATACAGTATTCTATATTTTTATTAGGCTCCTCCGTAATGCTGCTATCATTTATTCCATAGCAGTGGAGCAGTGAATTTATTATGTGAATATATTCCAAAGTCATCCTGTCAACCAGTTTTTTTGTTTTACGATTATGCTTTAAACTGGATTTTATGTCCTTCCCCAGGTACACTGACTGGGTGGGGCTGAGTCAACAGAGAAAACAAAAGGCACAAGCTCTCCCACTCTCCTCCGTCTGTCACTATAGCAAATATATTTATATGCAAATTACCCTGTGAAATAAAATGATTCAAATACCTTGATAGGAAAATGTTATATTTAATCTGTGGGGTTTGAGTTATTGACGAGGGCGAGAGATTGCTGGAGATGCATGGTGATGCAGGTGGAAGTGGAAGTGCAATCTAAAAACTGTCTCGTCCCTGTCTCAGTTACACTAGACTGGTGAATTGCATGTAGCAGTCAGATTTCAGTCATGGATTAATATGTGTGATACTGATTTTGTCATTACAGTATTTAGTGCATACAGTATTACACATAAGGGTTCAGGCACAGAATGGCCAGACTGAGATCTAAAGGTTATAGCTGCATGCAGGCTGCTGCTGTATATAGGCTAAGTACTGCACAAGCACAGTAAGTCAGTAAATTAATGAATATAGGGCCAAACTCATTCTGTGTTGGATGCTTTTATAATTTGCTAGCAAAATATGGCATATTTTTTAAGAAAAGGCATCATTATAGAAAGCATAAAATGTGCATTTGCAAGTAAAAATTATTTGAAAAGTAAGATGCAGTTCTCTCCAAAGCAAACACTGTGATTGGCATGTACTTCTGCTTCTGTTCCTCTGTCCAAATATGGCGGTAGCACCTGCCCGTTCCTTCTGTTTGTCTGCTAGTGTCTTGTCCGGTTTTCTCTCCGTCTGTTTCATCTGTATCTGTCTCTCCATTTTCTTGGTGTTTGTTTCTCTGCGTCTTTGGCAGCGCCGTTGGCTTCCTCCTCAGCCGGCTCTGTCTCTGTTTGCTCATCTTTTTCCTCCAGTACTGCCTCTGAATCAGAAAATGTATAAATTAAACACTAGTTAACATTGTACATACATCTAATGACAGTAATGTGTCCATAGATAATAATTTTAAATAAACCCCTATTTAGCGTTTATAAATTGTATACAGACAGTTAATAAATGGTTTATAACACACTATAATGTTGTTTTAATTAATTAATCAATAAGCACTGGCCCTTATAGGTGCATACAACTATGTTGTAGTGTGTTGTAGTGTATTATAAACATGTATTTATTGTTCATATATGGCTTATAAATCCTTAACAAGAAGTGTATAAAGGATATGGGACTTATTTTTATTGCCACAAGCTGGTTGGGTTTTAAACGGAATTAACATAGCTATTTTGTTAGCCATCAGATCAGCTCTCTTGCATTTATACCCTCCTAACCATTTGCCACAAGGAACAGAAATACTGTAGGTGCACACACACACACACAAACAATTAATTTCTTATTTTTCAAATTTGTCTTATTTAATAAACTAATATCTTAAAACCAGCAAAAATTTAATTTGTAGCATTAGTAGCAGAATTGTAACTGTTTCAAACATGATGCTACACATACATGGTTTCCATGCATGTCAACTGTGAAATGTGTTCAATCAAATGAACCCTGTTTGTGAAAAAAACCATATGTTAACCACACTCCCAGACTGATATAAACAATTTACAAGAACACATACCAGCAGTTGACATGCAGTGGTGGAAATGACAGCTAGCAACCTAGTTTAATGGCCTCCGTACAAGACATCGCGTGATGTCGATGGCAGATTACAAATGTCAAAGATGGTTCATTTGATCCTTGTAGCTGGCTGCCAAGCAGAAGTGGAAGCAAATACAATAATAGCCACATCTCTGTCTCCCCCCTTTCTGTCTCTCTTCCTCTCTTGTCTTTTTTTCTCATCACACACACATATGTGCACACAGGTGGTCTGGTCATTGTACCAGTGAAATCAAAGACAAACTACAGTGTACAGAACAGACTGGGTAGAAGACTGAAGCTGGGTGTCATAGCCCAACATCAGATGTTGTCGGGAACAAAAGTGCACTGATGTTTTTTTTCCTTTTTCAGGTCCATTTGACTGTTTTTGCATATTTATTTTATCTTCTTTCTTCCAACAGTTTTAATGAAACAAAAGACAAATTAACAATAATAATTATGAGAATTAGTGGTAAGACTAGGTCAAAATGATTAACACAAAAGTGAATAAAAGGGTAGAGGGTGTCTGAGGTTGTACAGATTGTAAAGCACGGCAAATTTGGGATTTTTAGCTTTATAAATAAAACTGACTTGACTTGACCTGACTTTTAGAAATGGCACATGAATCACTGTTTTGCTCTGATGAATGAACATGAATATTACTCTAGAATTAGACTTTTTTCTAATCTCCCCTTCAAGTACTTTTTCTGTGATGGATATATTGGTCCCTCTGCCACAGCTAACCCCTTTATGTGTAGAAGATGGTCTCCAGTTGTATGCCCCTGCTACTGACCGATCTGCCAACCTTCCCTGCACACACGCACACACACACGGACATGCACACCAGCAGTCTCCAGAGTGTGTGCTGGACAAAATCTAAAGTCAAGCATGAATACGGAGGCTGACAGGCCAATTATCAGATGTACTCTTCGTTCTGCATCCCCACCTCTGAAGGGAAGCAGATGTGAGAATCCTGTCGCTTTCACTCAAGCTGGTACAATGACATGGCCCAACAACAAAAGGCACAGCCTTCACAAGGAATCGAGATGGACAGAGTTGTAAACCTCTTCTTGTCATACAGTTTTATCGGGAGGGTTTTCACATTTCAAGCTTCAGAAGATGTGATGTAGTGTGGGGATGTTTGTCAAAACTTGAAATGTGTCTGACTTCCCACCCCCCTGAAGTTCCAATTGGGAATTGCATTCCTTACTGTTGATGCTTCTTCTGCACTGATTGTGGTACGCAGTGGTTTCTGTGGAAAATGTCATGACGTTTTCTAAAAATATGAAAATGTCACTTGTGGTGTACAACATTACTGTTTTATCTCAACTACTCTCTCTCAATTTTAGTGTCATGCTGCATGTCATAAAACATTTACTGAGGTTTAATGAGCTTAAAAAGTCTTGAAAAAAATAATAAACTAACTGAAGAACATTTCTTTGCTTCACAGGTGAATGTAGTTCCAGCATGTGTCAGAGCCTTGACCAAGATGCTGTACTGTCCATATTGCCGTGGCATGCCCGGGCTGAAACCCTGTCACAACTATTGTCACAACGTTATGAGGGGCTGTCTGGCGAACCAGGCAGACCTTGACGCTGAGTGGAACCTCTTCATCGGTAGGAAATAAAAGATTCTGGTTTAAATCAAGTGCCCTTGCACCTGTTTCTCATTTTCTCTTTGTAATCTTTGTGGGTTTGTGTGTCTGTCTATCTGTCTGTCTGTCTGTCTGTCTGTCTGTCTGTCTGTCTGTGTTCACACTTGAGCTTGTACTTCTAAGTCTGCATGTTACTTTTTTCAAGGCAGTGTCTTTGAATAGTCCCTGTGGGAATTCAGTAGGATGTGCTGTGTTAGATTTAGCTTTAAAGGATTTACAGAGACAAAACTGAAATCTTATTTGTGCAACCAATTCCTTCTCTTTTCTGTCTGAAATGTTATTTGCTATTGCTGGAACCCTGGCATACTGCTTAAAGCTATCCCTGCTGTTTGGGATTGATAAAGGAGAGCAGATCCTAGGCAAACACATTTTCTATAGTGTTTCCAGCTGAGCTTGGTGAGTAATATAGCACTTCAGTTAGGCTGTAAGTAGCTGGCTGCTGTAAGCCCTCCTGTTAAATGGATACCAAGAAGGCACATAGAGTGTTCCCTCTGGATCTTTGTAGGCCAATGCTTTATTTGTTATGTACCCCAATCCCATCCTCCCACCCACACTTACAGATTTTTTTTTAAATGGGGCGCCGTTTTTTTTTTTTTTTTTTTTTTTTAAGAGACATCCCTGAAGACTGTGTGTCAAGTGAACTGCACTTCTAAGCTTTTGGCTGTTTTGTGACAGGCCTGTCGTTCGAGAAACCCATCAGATGACGTACCGCTTCTTCTCTCCGATGGCATGTCTGAAGTCTCAGATCAACACAGGCCCCTATGCACTGAATGAGATGTCTCACAGCTTTATGACATGTGTTAAAAAGTTAGTGTCTTGTTCAGTTGTGAAGAGGCAAATCTATTGCCGCAAAGGGGCGCTGGGCTTGACAGTAATGGGAAAAGCTGTTGTTGCAACAGAGTGATGAATCTGGTTAGACAAAAACACCCTTGAGGTGTAGAAAAGTGGATTTTTAATTTTGAACCAGTTTTTGTGCAGACATTGTTTTTTGGTTTGGAAAAGCAGTGTTGTTGAGGGTATTATAATTAGAAATGTAGAACCCAGGGGAAGTTTATTTTCACCATGAAAGACTCATTTTTTGATGTCTAGTGACATTTTGTATTCATTATCTGTTGCTAAAGAACTTCGATTTGCTTACTATGCAGCTCACAAGAAATATTGATTTGCCTTTCAGAGACAACTTCTGAATGTATCACAGGTCAGTTCTCGCCACTGGAGCACATCTTTGCATTATAGAAATTTATGGATTGAGCTCGTGTGCAGTCTGTCATTGTCATCCCTTCAAATCATCACTTATTAGAGAAGGTTAGATTAGAGGCACAGCTTTAAATTTTTAAGAACCCTCAATGACATTTTCCTGTGGACTTTGTTCATGCTAAAATGTCACTATTGATACCATTGATTGGTAAGACCAAAGGAGATAGGAGACTCAAAGCTTTTTATTTAGTTTTAAACTTCCACTGGAAGAGAGATGTGTTCTAAAAATGGTCTATAATCTCTCTAAATCCAGCTGAATCAGGGACATTTATGTAATAAATCAAATGTTTATTTCCCTGCTTTTATTAAAAGCACACAAAACAAACTGATGGAAGTTCTCCATAACAAGTGAAAACTAAAACCAGAAATCAAAATTGAAAAGACTATTGCAACATCTGTTTTTGGATTACAATTCCTGAAGATAAGACACACTAAGTATAACAAGTTAGACTGACTTATATCTTATTTAAGCTTTTAAATATATTGTTGCATTTACTTAAATACAGTAAATCAATAAAAATAAAACATCTTCACTTAATTACTTGAAATTAACATACAGTGGATTTCATTTTTTCTAAATAATGTCATTCCTTCATTCTGGTGGTTTTAGTCACATGCTCACACACACAGTTGTGTTGGTAGTTAGTGTCGAAGGTTCAACTGAAGTTTAACTTGCTATTTTCTACCAAGGCAGTCTGAAACCATATTTCTTGGCCTCTCAACAAATTGTCTGGTTCATTCATTCAAAATCAGGAGACACTTTTCACTGTTTTTCAAGACTGTATAAGCTGTGTTAGTACAACATGCAGCTATAACCTGTAGACAACTTCTACAAGGCAAATATGGACCAACTTATTCAATTATTATGTACAGTATATACTGACCTACAGACATGGTGGACATTTTGAAATGTCATGGAGAAACTGCACAGGCGCCATTAATTACATTAATACTGGCTACATTCAGTTAACATGAGTTGGTTCCAGACAGCTGAAAACAAAATTATTAATATCATTATTTACACCTGTGTTTTTCCTGTTATAAAGAGTCAAAATGGTGGGAAGAGGGCCTTCTATTTTAAATGAGCAGTCATCGTATGCCTACGATGGAAATATGAACTGTGATAGACGCTGCCAAGCATTTTTTTCTGAAACTAACTAAATATAACAAGCTGGCTTGTAAATATTTTATTCACTTAGTTGAATTGCTAGATAATGATTGGCAGTAACATTTTGTGTCTTATGAGGTAAGCCTTTTAATGGAACGAGCGTGAAGCCCATCCAGGCCGACGCCATGTGTGTGTTTATCAAGTCCATGGCTCTTTTCCAGCTCAACACAGTAAGATGGACCTTAAAAATATGGTTAAGAATAATATCTTTGTAGCATTCATAAGCCTTGAGTAATTTTTCTTAACAGTCCAAATTAATTGATGCCATTAGAGTTGCACAGACCAGTGAAAACATGTTGTTAACATCATCAGTCTTTTCAACAAAATAGAACTATAATATACATAAAAATCTATCATAATAAAATAAAAATAAAAACTGTTGGGACTTAAAAATGGAATCTTTAAAGCCAGTTTTCAATAACTATAACATGGAGCACAACTACAGCACTGTATGAACTTGTTGTTTTCCTGCTTCTTATTAAACATTTATAGAAATGTTCTTCGCATGTTCCCTCTTTCCAAAAACACCAAACACATGGTGACATCTGTCACACAGCTATTGATGCTGACATGTCTCTAGACAACAATTTCTGGCAAGCGCAGACCAATAAATGGAGCACACCTTATTCAGATTCACAACAACACATGAAAGTCCCATCACATGGCTGATTTTCTTTATGGCTGAAAAAACGAAAGAAAATACGTTCCTTCACCGCTGCCGAAAATGTTGAACAGGGAACTCTAGTTGCAATAGTTGAGTCGCTCTTCTGTTTATTGTAATGCCGGCATCAAATGCACTATGTTCCAGTTTAGAATAAAACAAGATCTTTAATCAATGCTATCCTGTCCTTTGACAAATTTTAAGAATGTTATGTTACTTTTATAATATACACCACACTATATTTTTGTTTCTTCATTGTGCAGAAATAGTATTTGTATGAAGGTTTTGAATTTTTTCTCATTAATCTAGATAAAAATAGATGTTACGGTAATAGTTTTTATTCCCTATCCATGTCCCATAGTGGCTTTAGCTTTTAGAATTTATAGCAGAAAGTAAACGGAGAGGATTAGACGATAAAAACAATAACAACAGAACATGATTTTAGTTGTAAGCACGTCAAGTCAGTGGAGTAAACTTTTTTCTCTAGTGCTCTTAATGCTGCACAAAGCCATTAAAACATCACTTTATGAATTTATGAGACACACTGTAACACCACACAAATCAAGAAGAGTTACAAACTTGATATTGAAAGTAAATTCTAGGCAGTCTAACAAATTGAGCCACACTGAACTGAACCAAATCTTTGCAACACTGAAACAATAATGACCTTGGTGGATGCTTTGATGTAGCCTACATATCACTATGTAGAAGAAGAGGAATGATTACAGCATCCATGTCACACATTTCAAAGTTACAGTCTCGGTACAGTAGTTGACAGTTTGTAAAGGTTATCATAAGGACTTCATGGCTTCCATGCTGCAAATGGAAAACAGATGTCAGTGAACAATGACCATAAACCTGAGGAAAGATGTGATTTACCTGCTCGTACATGTGATTTTAGACATCCTGACTTCTAATGTGTGTGTGTGTGTGTGTGTGTGTGTGTGTGTGTGTGTGTGTGTGCGCGTGCGTTTGAATGTTCAGGGAAAGAATTCATGGTTTGGCCAATGGAGGATACCAGACCATCAGTCACCTGCCATCATGACAAATTTACCGAGCTCTGCATCGTGACAGACACATCATTATCATTTTTCTTGTCAGCACCTTGTTAAAATACCCTCAGAGAGAGAGAGAGAGACAGACAGAAAGAGCAAGAGACGCAGAAAGTGAGAGACAGTGTGCAAGAGAGAGAGAGGACTCTGTTATTCACACTACTGTAGTTTTTTAGACTTACATCATCATCAAAACCATTTTTGACAGGAAAGAACACTACATGTTTTAGGTACACGTTTTAAAATGAATGGCAGATTTTAATTGACTATATGAGAAAGTGTAAGACCAAAGTGTAAGGAATGGTTTATTTGCTCTAACTGCAATTGTTAGCAGGCTGAGCCTACCAAATACAGTAACTGAACACCAAGCATAGGCATTTCAAAACCTCACTTATTTTGTAGGATTAATTAAAAGAAAAATCCCTGTTCTAGCACACCCATTTTGAAAGTCCACATGAAACAGGAATCAGAGTGCTACATTCTTCCCCATATTTATGTATTTCCTGTCAAAACAGGCACCAATGGAGGGACTTGGCATCACAGTAGCAAATAGCGCTGTGTGTTACTCCCTGCTCAATCAGCTGTAGCACACTGTTACGGCCATAGAGCCGTGTGTCTTGTTTTTGTGTTTTGTGCTTCTCTCTCTCCTGTACTCCTCAGGGTACTGCCCTCCCCCTCTGCAGCGGGTAGATGTGCACGGCTTTCCCCAATTGCTAATCAGGGTTGGGCGTATATAAACTGGAAACGGAGTTGCGGCAGCTTCCATGCTGTGTGCGTTGGTGAGACTAGAGCTCTGTTAAACGTTTAACCGAAAGCAAACTACG